CCCCCCTTCTTTTCTCTCACTCTCAAATACCCACAAATAAATAGTCATACACCTACCGGTTTACACAAAATAATGCTGGCACTTGGAAAACACTTTAACTTACCTTAAGTGAATGACCCAACTCTACTTGAACCATGAAAGACAACTAGACAAGGTAAGACAATTACTTTTATGAAAACAACAAGTTCTCACTCCCCTCCTTGAGTATTTATTTCTATATATTATGATACTGTCAAAGGACATCTACCAGTTTAAAACAACCATCTTTCTCCTCGACAATGGGTCGCTGTCTTGAACAATTTTGACTGTAGATGATGCTAGTTTCTGGAGGGATATGCTTCAGAATTCACTGTCTTGATCACTACATGTTGGTATCTAAACAGAGTACAGTAATAAAAGTTACCTCTAAGTTGGGCATCACCCAAAACGCCTGTATCTGTGAATCCAGGGTCCCAGGAGTGTATTCAAAAGGAGCTGCGGACATGAAAGCACAAACAATAGCAAGGGACAGTAAATAACCATAAAGAATATTTACAACAACAGAGGAAACAATCCTATTTAACAATCTCAAGGAGACGAACTGTAAATGACCGTGGTCATCTTTTCCAGATTCTCTCAATAGCATCACAGTTAGTGTAGTTAGCCACATTTTGTTTCAATTTAAGTTTTTTGCTTCGTTGTAGCCCCTTTACACAGGATGGAGGGTAAAGGCAGATCAAACAGATTTAATGTTTGCAAATCAATTTTTTTACTTTTAAGATGAATTTACGACATTCATAGGTTCACAGTTTATGATGTCCTTTTCTAATAACATGAGCAAAGTAAAAGCTGTCAAAAAGATCAAGCAATACATAATTTTACTTAGTAAAGAATTTAAAAGAGAGAGCATGCCCCAGTCTATAGAGCAGGGAACATCATCTATGAAATCTTTATGTAATTAATTATTATTAAGTTACATACACACTATAAAGGCCAAGCACGGCTGGTACATTGAGCCAGAGCCTCTCATCTTGAGCTGGTACGACATCTGGCAGTCAACGTCGTGCACTGATGGGTCAGACTGGCAGTATGGGTGGCTATGATACCAACCCACCAATGTCATGTGCTTGGACCTCATGCTACGCCGGATCTGAAAAGGGATGGGGGAAGAAGGCAAGCAATGAGATGAGGAATGTCACACAGGAATGGACATATTATGACAAATATAGAAACAGCGCAATGTTGTTGTGGACATATTATGACAAATATAGAAACAGCGCAATGTTGTTGTGGACATATTATGACAAATATAGAAACCGCGCAATGTTGTTGTGGACATATTATGACAAATATAGAAACAGCGCAATGTTGTTGTAACTGGTATTGTTCAATCTTAGTTTACTGGCAACTGGTACAGTGGGTGCCACATTCAACGAGGTCACATTCACCGAGAAGTCGGCTCCAACGAGGCAATCCTTAATCCCCGATTTTTCCCTCTATATCTCTTTGTAAATGCACGTCGGCTCCAACGAGGTGCAAGCAGACCAAAGTCGCTTTCAACGAGGTCGCGATAACCAAATAAAAGCAATTAGCGGCCCCAAAAGCGAAGCATTTTTCTCCTTTTTCTTCATCTCACACGAAGCTTAAGGCCCATCACCCATTCCTAACACATTGTATTGCTAGAACTAGCCTGCCTCCTAATTTGGGCCCCAAAGCCAAGAGGATGGGCGAGGGTTAGCCTACAGTAGGGATGGGAGGGGATGGGTGGGAACGCAATGCGGGCTGTGTGAAACTGTGTGAACTCTGGATGGGCAGGTCTAGATTACTCTAGATCAAGACATTCTTTTCTTTTCAATATTCTTTTCTTCCCCTGATCAGAAAATCCAAGCCCCCGCCTTTACTTTAAGTAGATCTAAGCCTAGATGTGAGAGGGTATGTTTCTACACGAGAAGTGTTCAGGAAAAAACAATATTTAAAAATGCAGAAATGACGGTCAGAGCACAGCTGAAACATGCGCACACTGATGCTGTTTGAGATTTTCATCATCAGGGGGAACAACTGTTTTAATTACTGGTATTGGAACATCCTATAATATAACAACTTGTCTCCTTTCTTTACTTTAGCCTTAGTCACGATCAACGAGAGGTGGGATCCAACGAGGACAACAAGCCGGTCCCGGCAACCTCGTTGAATGCGACACCCACTGTACAACTGCTATCTACTGCATTGTACAAATTATGTTGTTGCTGAGGTGTAATTTACAGTGACTCAGCATGAAACATCCCACATTTTTTAAGGGATCAGGAAAGGACGATAATGTAATAAAGCAGTAGAAAGAGCAGGCCACTTTCCACTTCTATGAACACAACGAAGGGATGAGGGAAAAAGCAAAAGAAACTAAGAGAAGGAACAAAATTTGCCAATGATGCTTTTCAAGCATGGTGCGGTTGTGGGTAGTAAGTCCTGCTCAATTTATATATTAAATAATAATAATAATATAATATATAACATTTATAGAGCGCATTTCCAAAAAAAGTAGCTCAATGCGCTTTACATTGGAATACCCATTTTTCAAAAACCTTTCTTACTACTTCCTTTCTTCTCACGCAATATACATTAATGCACACACACACACACATACACACACACACACACACACACACACACACACACACACACACACACACACACACACACAGAGACTATTTTCATCCAGACATAGGAAAAGAACAAATATAATGAAAGCTAACGTTAAAAGCTTATGAAGGATAGGCCTGTAGGAACAGAAAATGTTTAAGATGTCTTTTGAAGCTATCAAGTGTTCTTATTTGTCTTAGTTTCATGGGTAATCTGTTCCACATAAATGGACCAAGATATGAGAAAGATCTCTCTCCATATGATTTGTATGATTTTACAGGTGTCACAAGTAGGGTGTTATCGTTCGATGATCTTAGGTTTCTCCCTGGTTTATATATACTGATAAGTTCTTGCAGATAAAAAGGAGCAGTTTTATTTACACATTTGAAACACATGACGCAGATTTTAAATATTATTCGTTCTTTTACAGGGAGCCAATGCAGTTCTTTTAATAATGGAGTGACATGGTCTCGTTTTTTAGATCTTGTTATCAGTCTAGCGGCATTGTTTTGAATTACTTGTAAACGATTCAAATATTTGTTGTTCAGACCTGCTAGGAGTGAGTTACAATAGTCTAATCTAGATAGGATAAGAGATGTTACCAGTGTTTTTGTGGTCTCTTCGCTTAAGTACTTTCGAACTAGGCCTATCCTTCTCAGCTGAAAATAAAGGGATTTGGACAGAGATCCTACAAACGAGCCCATTGATAAGTGGTGGTCAATATATACACCGAGATTCCTGACAACTTCTTTACTAGATGTCATATGCCCATATAAATCAAAGTTGACACTTTCCAGATCTTTATTTAATCGTGGATTTTTTATAAGAATGATGTCTGTAAGTTTCTTAAAGAGAAGGAAAAAAATCCTCTGATTAAAAACAATATCTCACCACACAAGACTCACTAGAGATCATGGGAGAACAGGAACTGTGAGAATAATTATGGTGCAGGGAATTAAAAAGCAAAAACAAAACAGCATACGTTTCCATAGCATATTTTCTCCTAGCAAGCATAGTAAACAGATCTTCAAACCTTTTCTTACTACAATGCGGTATAGATTAATTATTCACAGACCAATTTTTCTCAGTTGCACACCTTTCAATAAGTTGAGAATCGGTAAACTACAATTAAATTAGAAAGGCTTTGCGAGCTTGCAATGTAACAGGAACTTATTGTAAACTTAGATGTAAAAGATTTGTTTCACTAGTGCAGAACGTTGGACAATATAGCACATCTTACAAAGCCCCCCCCCCCCCACTCCCAACATCCCCTGTCTGCCATGTAACTGACCTCTTCTTCGACAAGAGGGGCACGCTCAAGGTCACCGAGGCGACAACAGGCTGGGAACACCTGTTCTACGCTGAGATCTGAAAGATACAAAACATAAATTTCTCATGTCCATACGGTCAGAAACAAGTCTGAACATCGACATAAATGTAAGTTAAAAATACCTTATATGACTTATGTACTGTATGTTTTAATTAGAAATTGATAGTTATGACAATGGAAACCTTTAATCACACGGTATATAACATATCAAAGGCTGTACTCATCGACAGAGTATACAAAATATGCACAACAAGAATCTTCTGTAGTCTTACCTCAAAGAAAAAAAAAGAAAAAATTTATTTGAAATAGAAATCAGACTTACAACGGTGGGCATAAATACACAGAGCTGGTTGTAATGGAGTACAATGTACTCCGGTACTTGTACTTACGTTACAATTTTCGGTACTTTTACTGTTCTCCGGTACATTATGAGAACCAGTACTTCTACTGTACTCCGATTCTTTTTATAAAAGTACTTCTGAGTATTTTTAAAGTACATTTTAGGGGGCTCTCGTGGCCTAGAGGTTAAGGTGTTGGCCTTTCATTCAAAGGTCCCAGGTTCGAATCCGGGTAGCGACCAAAACATTTTCTTCTCTAAAATTGTCTCCTTTCACCTCCTTTCCTGCTCTCTAGCAATGTTCTGTTGTCTGCTTTCATTTCCGCTTTCTGCCCCCACCCCCTCACCTCCTTTGCCCCCTCCTCTGGGCTCCTGACTCTTTCTGCAGCCTTTCTACTGTTACTCCTTGGCTCCTCCTTACTGCTGTCTTTCTGCCACACCCCTGATCTTCTGGTAGGAAAGATTTACACCTAGCCTTCTCAGACAAGGGCGAAAAATCTCGGAGGGCCCGTGTGCAATTTGCGCACGTTAAAGATCCCTTGGTGGTCTAAAATCGATAAGAGTAGGCTTCGGCCGCCACCCGAGCAAAAATTCAAAATTTCCTACCACCTGAAAATATTATATTATATGACCTATGCAGTTGCGAGCACCGTAAAACACTTTACAAAAACAAAAACAAAGTACATTTTGAGTACTTTTGAAGCTTATTGAAAGAGTAAGTGCCAGCATTTCTGATCATAATTTACGGAACAAATACCTGGGCGGGCACAGCCGATCAACCAAGAGTTAAAAGTTGAGATCAAAGAACTGCCCGTCGTGTCAAAGATCAGCCACTCTCCTGAATGTGATCACAAGCGTTGTAAAACTACATGAAACGGTACAATGATCCCCAGACGGGATCACACCGAGGTGTGAACTGACCGATGCGTTTCTTTTCCCCAAACATCGCACTCGCATCTGAGCTCGCCACCTGAACTCACATCACTCGCTGGGTGGGTAGGGCCTACAAGTTCTCTCCAGGCAGGATCACATCGAACTGTGAACTCTTCCCTGACCATTGAAGTTGAAGGCAGTTTTTCTCTATTCCCGACTTTGCGAGACAGCCTGAATTTTAATTAGTGTGGTCACAGCGTAATGGTACGTAATGACAAAGGCGGAGGGAACTCAATCAGAGATAGAAAGGCTACAATTTTTTGACAGGTGAAGGGGAGGGGCAACTGGATAAACGTAGACAAAGATCTCGAGACGATATGCTAATGAGTACGGTATAATATTAAGGCATGCCTCATGCTACCATGCTACTATGGTTGGTCATCAAGGTTGACCACTCTTTGCTCGTCATATGTCATAAACCCACCCAGGGGTCACATCAGTTCATGGCTCACTGTAGATTCTTCCTTGGCTTCGTCGGCTATAGATCCCGTATTTCCCTTGCTCCCAAGCACTGGGATCTTAGCGGAAACTACTGTAGTAGAGAATTTTTTATTACACTACTCTTACTAGACTCTAGGAAATTACATGTAGGCCTATTTTGGTTTGCCGTGGGCGCCGTGGACTACACAGCATGACCAAAATCTGTCTTACCACTATTATAATCAATTGAAAATCAAGGTATATCAATCTAACAATTTTTTAGGCTACCTAAATTTCTTTTTAACTTTTTTTGTGGTTTGTGCTTAAGGCTACCTTGATTCCTTGAGGATTTGTTAATGAAGAATTTAATGCACGTTTCCATTTTTTTTTTTGCTGGCCATTTTCATCCATTTTATATTTTCTTAAGAGCAACTTTGTCTCTACATTTTCCAATGTGGATACTTTTCCTACTTTCCGACCTCTAGGACTGACTTACATTTGATCATATTGTCTTGCTCAAACAAGTTCTATTCATGATATCACTCACTCACTAGTTGCGCCTGTTTGTTTGCTGTTTTTTTTTTTTCAATTTCACGGACCATTTCCACCTACATTCAGTGCGTATATTCAAATACTTTGTATACTGTTTACATTATTAGTAATAAATGGCCTAATTTGTCAAATATACTAGATATGTTATTCAATATGATATTTTGCATTAGCACTGAAGTGTTTTATCATATTAGCAGAAAGTACTCAAAATGTACTCATAAGTACTTTTTTAAAAAGTACTTGTACTCAAGAACATTTTACAGGAAAGTACTTTTACTGTACTTAAGTACATATTTTAGATTGTACTTAAATTTGTACTTAAGTACCTTTAAAAAAGTACTTTAACAGCTCTGTAAATACATTTATGACACTACCATCCAGCAATATTAATAAACAATCAAGCAAGCCATATATTTTATGTACACTTACATTATCATACCTTGTCAGCCTATCAGAGGACAAGTTCTCTGAGCCATTAATACGTCTTATGCAACTCGGAGACTAAAACGTTTTCTTTGATTAGAGACAAGTCCACTACTGGAACAATCAGATAACAGGAAAATGCCATGGGTATAAAAAAAAAAAAAATAAGAGGGTGATTCAGCACCAAAAAAAACTGAGTCTACGACTTCTGAAAATGATAGATTATCGGTTAGCTTCACTTACGCTGCTTGTGCGTGTCCCATCGACCTCCGAGGTAACCAACCACTTCAGACTTGGTGAGGTAACAATGGAAGTCCTAAAATAAAATAAGGATGCAAGGGATTCTTTTTACTTGTGGAGGTATTTTGGGAGCAAAAGTCCACAAGGAGATTAGAACAATACACACTTTTTCAACATCCATTACTAATTCATAAGTTCAAATAACTTAATTTCTTCCACCTGTAAATGGCTGCAAGACGGACTAACAACAAAACAGAAAATGCCTCTATCAAGTTTGAACAAAATTCCATCTTGGGTCATAACATTAACTAAACTTTTACTTCAACACAACATATCTCAGCAAGAAGAGGCAGGCATGATAACCCAGTTAAAAAGCAGGAAAAAAGTCTCAGAATTAGGATGACAGTTATAAGATTGGACCCTAAATTAACGAGTCTGGCATCCTGACAGCTAAACTACCTAGGCCACCAACATTAATGTTGAGAATCATCAAACACTTTTGATGATTCAAATAGATCTTTAGAACGTTTACCTTCTGGTACGTAAATTATCATACAAAAAAAGATTTTCAAGGAAGATACGTTGGTATAAAAATCAAATCTTTTATTGCTTTCTCTTCAGAAATTGACAAGGTGAAAAATACCTTGACAAGAGACTAAATGGAAAGTGTCTCATTGTGCACTCACCATGAGGAGCAGGGCATTGCTGTTTACAGACACAGTGAATGGCTGCAGCTTGCTATGGCTGTCAAACTTCTCGCACTGAACCAGAGTATGGGGGTCTCTGGAGAAAACCAGACGGTATTAATGTAAAAAGATAAAATAGTGTTTATTCATGGTATTGAATCTCCCTGAAAGTTCTCAAATTGTTACAATGAATCCCTCAACCAGACTGTTCTTTGTAACTCACAATACAGGGGAAAAATATGGCTGGAAAACATAGCTATTTTATACAGAAACAATATGACTTACATATCAATGCGCCTGGTACCAAGAGAAGAGTACGGAACACTCTCCCTCGATCTAATGACCTTCTGGCTAATATGGCTCGACTTTTCCAACTGTAGCACACCTGTCGTCTTGTCTGAGGGGCTGATCCTTGAGAGATTCAATGGAGTTACTGGAAAAAGAAAATAAAACTAGTCTATAAATCAGACATTCTGTACCAAATTCCATCTAAGATTTTTAGCAAGAAATAAAGATACCAATCTAAACTTACAAGGAGCAAATAGTAGGCACAAATTTTTTTCCCCTAAGTACTATCCTCGCCATTTACTCATATCTATACATAGCATTCTTCTCAGCAAAGTAACCATTGTCTGAATTACCAATGTTTTCCTCTCAGACTAAGTCATGTTTCTCCTAATCACACATCTCACAAAAGGGAGTGAACTATTTCTTCACTTCAATTATAATACTATGTCATGGACGCATTATCATATTCTTATCAATAAAATTTGGTTTTCTTATATTCATATTTTATAACGTCATCATCATTTCTCATCCTGTACCAGAGTAGAGGTCACTAACAAGAGCTTTCCATGTACTTCTCTACAGGGCTATTGTCTCCACTTCTGTCCAGATGTATCCCATCTCCTTTAGGTTAGAATTTTACTCCCTACTCTACGTACTTTTAGTTTTAGGCCTTTCTTTCTTTCTCTTTCCTAGCCGATTCTATCTTAAGGTTTGTGGGATAATGTTTGTATTTAGCTTTCTTAACATGTGTCCAATCCATTTTCATTTTCTTTTTATGTTTTCTATTATATCTGTTTTCGGTTGAATTGTTTGCTCCCATACTCTAAGGTTTCAATTAAAAGCGCGGGTTACGAATAAAAGGGTGGACAAGTGGTCCAAAATTAATAAGGGGGGGGGGGGGGGGGGGAGGGCAGATAAAAGGGGAGTGGGGTGGCACATTCAACTTCATACCCCTATACTAGTAGAAACAAATTTGTTTTGTTTCTCCTTCAGTGAATAAAAGAACAAGGGTTCATGAAACTTTGGTGATTTTAGTAAGTTACTGTGACAACTTTTCCAATTTAGGAACAAACCAGTTTCATGCCCCTTACAAAAAAAAAAAGTTTCATTCAGATATCTAAATAGATTCTAAACGTTTCATATGATTGTCGGTCGTGGCGAGCTAGAAAATAATAAACAGGGGATATGGAATAAAGTGGGGGGGGGGGGGGGGGGGGGCGTGCGCAATAAAACAACTGAAAACTAATTCTTAGTATATTTCTTATAAGCACCTGTTGATAAAAATGCCTATTGCTTTTTAAAAGCTGTTTTTTTGAGTTTCCAAGTTTCTGATCCATATATATACATACCGTAGTTGTGTAATTTTTGGCACTGGAAATCCTGGTCTTGATTACTGTTCCTGTAATCCAGGACTTCCATACATTTTTTAGTTGAGTGAAAGCACCTCTTGCCTTGTCTATTCTTGTCTCTACATTTACATTTGTTCCTCCAACCTTGTCTATAAATGCTACCAAAGTAAGTGAAGGAATCAACTTCCTCTAGAGTTGATCCTCTGATGGTAATCAGATCGTAGGGTTTTTTTCATTACTAAAGAAGACAAAAGACAGTGGAAATAAAATAGAGGCAACAGAAATGTGGTTTCTTAGGAGACTGCTAAGAGTATCGTGGAAGGAAAAGAAATCAAATGAGGTAGTGCTTGATGAAGCCCACGTGGGACGCTCAATGTTAAAAACAATCAGGAAATGACAAATGCAGTTTTTGGGACACCTGAATAGACATAAGGGTATTGAACATCCAGCTCTCACTGGCAAAAAAAATTGAGGGCAAGCGAGGCAGGGGTAGGCCCAGAACAACATACTTAGGGAACTTAAACAAATGGGTAACAGGGAAAGATCAGGGAAACGTAGCTTTTCTGAGAGCATCCGAGCAAAGGAATGAATGGAAAATCATGATCGCCGATGTCTGTCGCAGATCTGGCACGGAATGATGATGATGAAAGTAGACAAAAAATATAGTCTGAGAGAAATTCAACACTTCACTACAAATTTCATGTTGGTATCTAGGCACAACACAAACACAAAAATAAAACAGCTTAAATCAGCTAATCTACTGGTGAAAAAAAACTTACCTTCAGTTGGAGCTGCAGCTTTACTTTTTCCACTTGGTGGACTGTGGGGAGGAAATAAAAGTTACAAGAAAATAACTACAACTACACCAACAAAGTCAACTACATTAATTTTTCTAGGGTAGTATGTGTTAGACTACTAGATTGCTTTTATCAATATACAGAAGGGAAACAATAAATCCTGGATTGTTGGTCCTTATATTAACATGTTGAATTATGTCCCTGTAATTGTAGGCCCAACTTTTATTTATCTACCCTCACAACAAAGATTGTCTGATCTTAGTGATCTTTACTCACTCCTCCTTCCTGTTTCAATCACATGTACTCATGCTCATTATGATTTATTTAGTCTTGTCAGTGAAGCCAGAGAGGGCAGACCTCATATTATTTTCATCATTAAATTACCCTTCTTCATCTAGAAACGGAGTTTTGACTTTTGCTTTATTAAATACAATAATGGCAAACAACCCCAGTGCAACAGTATGTTCTGCATGTTTTGTACATTAAAGACACAGTAGAGTAGTCACTTAAATGAAAACAGAGAAATCGGTCCTTTGCTTCTTCAGTAGATATACTTGCTAGATCGCTCTGTTGTTCCCCTTTTTGTTATTGTAATCTACAAGAAAAACATTACATCAGTCCGAGACAATGAACAAAATGAAGTAGTAAGAGGTGATAAAAAAAATCTGAACAACAATCCAACACGAATACTATCCAATAGTATCCGTATTTGTCCAGACATGAAGGCACCACATCACAAATTCACTGTTAAGGAAAACTTTCTAGGATGCCCATAGTTTCCTTATAAAATTAGGAAGTTAATTCAACACAAAGAGACCGTGTGACTTACACTTTGGCAGGCTCTGCAACCAAAATTTGTTGTAATGAAGACATAAGTGGTTTCTCTGTATCTTTCTTTTCCTTGTGCACTGTGCTATCTTGTTTTTCTTTATCTTTGTCATCATTACCCTCACTAGACTTTACACAAGCAGACATTGGTGCCTTGTCATTGATAGTAACTGATACTGGCGAGTCTTGGGGTGCTTTGGTGGTCTGTGGACTACATTTTTCTCCATCTATGCTCAAAGTTGGGGAGGCCAGCATCGCCGGAGAGGTACTGGGCTGTGGTGGTTTGGTGGGGGAAGAGTTGGAGCTGTCACTGGATGCCTGAGCAAAAGGGAGGAAAAAAGAGATGACTGGTAAGATTTATCACATCAAAACAAGACACTCAATATAAGAACATAGAAAAGAAACTGAGATCTGCGGTTTGAATTTCCATTTTTAGAGGTGTATAATAAAATGAGTTCTCCCAAAGAAACTTTCCTCAAAGAAATTTGAATGATAATGAACAAAAAAGCACAATAGTTCATCAATATTCAGAGTGCGCTTCTTGAAATGTCTAATAAAAGTAGGTCTCTAATTTGTAATTCGAAGAAATTTTTAAAATGCATTGAAGAGTGGTACCACTTTCTGTCTTCTACACACTCTTAAGGGTTTCAAAGTTAATTAACAAAATATATTTTAAGAATAATAAAATTAGCATTGCCGGGGACACTTATGTCTTCCTTGCTGTACATAATGGTTCGCAATTTTTTGAATCACAAATTTATATAAAAGCATTTAAAAAAAACAACAACAGTCAGTGTCAATGAATGCAGTAGAAGAAATAAAAATGAAAAAGCTGGTAAAAAACATTGAAATCTCATCTGACTTTTGTTTCAAGGTCCCAGACATTTCGACTACAGAACGTTAGAATGAGCGACCGATTTGCAAAAGTGTACCAGATCATGAGTTTACACAAGATGAGAATAAAAACTGTAGACACCAGTTCTCGACTGAGGCACACATAAACCCAAAGGCAAGGAAGACATAATATTCATGAGAACACCAAAGATGGAACAACCCCCCAAAACAAGATATAGTAGAAGTAGTGAGAACTTTCTTGAGTTATTCTGTAAGGGCATTCTTTACCTGTATTTTAGTAAAATTCCACACCTGTATTCTGTTTGACTAATAATAGGAATTTTTTCCACTTGGCCATTTATTACAACAACTATGGGAGCAAACAAAACCACAGAACACAGATTTATAGAAATTACTAAAGAGAAAAAGCAAGTGAATTGATCACACCTTGAGAAAACAGAAACAAATATTACCCACCAAACTTTGAGATGGAATTCATAAGGAAAGAGAAAGAAAGTAAGGCCTAAAATGTACTTGGAGGAAAGACTTTGATTCAGAACTAAAGGAGATGGAATACAGCTGGACAGAGGTATATTGAGCGCTGTTGTTGATGGCCTAAACGCCGACAGGGGATGAAAAAGGCTGATGATGACGGTTCAATCATAGTGTAGGCCCCTCTAGCTCTCCCAGTCCCTACCTTGAAGGGGCTGCTCACCCTGTGTTTCCGGGCCCAGATGCTTTTCCAAATGTCCAGCTTTTTGTTGTTGTATTTCACCTGATGAATAATTTGCAATAAAATGTTTAACGACAAAAGCCATGACAGTGTCGCTTTGGTATAGAATTTTATGGGTTTAACTCCTTTTTCAGCACTTCTAAAGTTTCAGTTTTTTTTATGAGGCAGGACCTCTGAATTCTAAATCTGTTGGAGAACAGACATATAGTCAAGAAGGTGAAGAGCCACCTTTACAAAAACACCCCAAAACAATCCCAGGTCAAGAACATCCTGCTGAGGATACAGTCCAAAGTCATCCAAATCAAAGCCTAGCATGATACCATCTGAGCTGATGGTGGACTCCTTGTATGACTAAGAAAGGGATCTTCTCCTTTTCATCTTCTACACAATGAGAGTGGGTCAAAGTGACATGATGAAACTTATGGCAAAAGGATGTCTCTCAGTACCATACTTTTTTACTGATACAGAATGGGAGGCAGAAAGATGCCATTGGCAGGCAGCACCCGTACTCATCTGTAAATTCTAACTGTACTTGTTCTTTTTTCCTAGCTCTTTATAGCCAGTATTGGTATTGCATCTCTACATTTTCTCTGTAATTAAACTATAAAATATCTCACCGATGCCCATCCACAGCCAGAACGTTTGATTGGGTTGACCAGCCGCTTACAATGCAATGCCCAAGCGCTTGGAGTTCCAAACTCTTCCTCCGATCCTTGCCATTTTATCTTTCCACTTTCAAGCAGGTCAGCTTCAAAACGTTGTCCCTGATAATGATCACAAAAAATATCAAAAGAAAGTCAGCTTCTAAAAAAATTACACAGACATCACCAGTACCTCCTTTTTCTGTAACGTTGTGCTAGAATTTATGCATGTTAAACAGTGAAATTGACTTTGATGTGTATCATGGGATTCAAGACAGCAGATCTGTATAAAAAATGAGACAGAAAAATATGTGTGTGGGGAACAGGGAACAACAAAGAGTCATTCTGGCAGCAATCATGCAATGCTTTCACTATCAAAGAGAAGTAATGGATAATAAATGTTACTTACCAAATAGTCGATGGACAAGACCCCCTTCCCTGGATGGATCACGCCGTCCTCCATCAACGTGTTGAGCGTCACACTACGACAAGTGATTGCCTGTTTCGCCTTATGAAGAGCTCCCTCTTCCTCTCCATCTAACCTCATCTCCATCTCTTCTCCATCCTCCTCCTCCATTTCCACATCTTCCTCTTTCATTTCCATTGACTCAATTTCTGGAGATGCTAGATTGAAGAAAAATACGTATAAATATTGTGCTTACTTTTCAAAGTCGGGAAATAGGTGACAAAGTATGCACAATGAACTCAAGACAAATATAATGACATATTCATTCTACGTCAAACGGAAGATTTGTTCTGGTAAAAGAAAAAACTCCCTTCTGACACTTAAATAAATGGCAACTCAACAGGGATGAGAGATTTGTATGTTCATCATGGACAAGTTTTTAAGGCTGTTGATTGATAAAATATACTGGTTGTGTTGGACAGGTGGTCATCTTGGACAGTGTCATAATTTGGCGTCTCTATAAAAAAAAAATGCAAGGGGAAGTGGTAAGTGATTGTGTGTACAGGAGGTTGTGAAGGACAAGTGGCTGCGAGTGGAAATTCAAATTATTATATATAGGTAGGCCTATGCATTGAAAGAAAGTGAAGAAATTCAAAGCAGTTGCATATTCCTCTGCCACAGATAAAAAACACAAAGATGAATGCCTTAAAATTGTCTCATTTATCATGCAGATCACATCTCTCAGCAGTAAACTAATTTACATGGTCTAATTCTCATCAAATTTTAATATATACTGTTGCCGTCGTGCACCAACCCCCTAAGCGCCACCGACAAAATTTTACAGGAGAAGCAAAAAACTAATTATTTCTTTTATTTCTTAATATTTTAGAAAACTTTTCAACTTTTACACATAAAATATGATTCTTCACCTTCTCACATGTTGTTTGGAGTAGTAAAAAGAATAATTACAAAGAAAAAGGACTTACAAGATTTCTGCTCGAGTTTATCGTCGTGCACCGACCCGGTAAGCACCAAGCGTGTCGCATACCTCTTTCGTGCACGACGGGTCTGAATTGCTTGTCGACAGATGATGTCATTTTAGTGGTTTTTGTTTTTGAGTATATTTTGATGATGGCATAATGTGTCATTGTTTGTTCTCCTTAAAGAAGAAATTAAAGACATTTAAACATAAAAAGAACCACTAGCTTGTCATGGTTTGTTAATAGAATCTTTATTTGCCGTTTAAACAATACAAACAAACAAACAAACAAACAAACAATAAAACACGTAAAAACATCCAGACCCAGACATTCAGAAAATACGATAAAGCACAATGAGCAATGAAAAACATAATGTCATTAACCCCCCCCCCCCCTCTCTCTCTCTCTGTCTCTCTCTCTCTATTTGCCAAACTCTCGATCTCTCTCTATCTGCCAAACTCTCTCTCTCTCTCTCTATATATATATATCTATCTCTCTCTCTCTCTCTCTCACACACACACACCCTCTCTTTCTCTCTCTCTCATTCATTTAATATCACCTTTTCTGTAATTCCGAAGTACACACAGCCACTCATCCTCTCTCTCTCTCTCTGTCTCTCTCTCTCTCAGTCTCTCTCCCCCCCTCTCTCTCTCTGTATCATCTTTTATCATCTCATTCACTCGCTCTTTCTCTCCCTCACCCTCTGTTCTTCTCAGCTGCAGATGAAATGAATATATCTAAAATTCACATATTATACATAATATATTTAGTGCCGAAGATTATCGTAGAATGAATGGTGGTCTTTAGGAATAACGGCTTTTAGTTCCTGGAGGTGTCTGAATTTCACGTCTGTGATCTTCAAGGTCTCTGTGTAAAGAGGTCCTGGTTTTTCGCGGCTACCTGTGCATGCCCTCTTCCCCGAGGAATACCCTTCCAGTCCTCATCAAATGTCAACTTGAAGGATATGTTCCGATCAGGCGTATACCTAAGACAACGAATGTCCACCACATGTGGGTCACCTTTCCCACGACCTGGCCTCACACTTTTGTATGGTCCGAGTTTGGAATAATCCTTGAAAAATGTGTGATCAAGGTACTTGACCTCAAAGGGTCTGGGGCTGCGCCTGGCTCTACCCATGATGCCAATGTAGTCCGCCGACAGGTACACCGGAACACATTTTGCTGCTCTCTCAATAAGACTGTGGCAGGAATCCACTTCCATGTGCGTGTGTCCCTTGACAAGATATTTATGCTCCACTGTCTTACCTGTGCGAGCGCAAAAGTCACTAATAGCGTTGGCAAGTACAACGTTTTTGTTTTGATATATGCATCCATCACTAAAAATGATTATCTTGTCCACTTCGGTATTAACGTTTAGGTAATCTACCACACACGATGCAAATTCGTTTGAAGTGAGCCCACCTTCTCCCTCATGCCACACGTAACACAGCACATCCTTGGAGACTAGATCGTAGACTGTGAAGTTGTGTACTGTGAGTTTTGTTTTGTAGTAGATGGCAGATGCTTGAAGAGAGGGAGCAAGAAGGACAGATTCCAAGTCCATACAGATGGTAGCAGTCCTGACTCCGTCAGCTGAACCTTCAAGAGACAGTTTCTTGTTCATCTCCTTCTCAGCAAAGGCTCTTTCCTTCAGTCTCATGTGCTGTTTCCATGTCTCTTCGTCCATGTTTCCAACACTGTGGGACACACATAAGTCACATAGGTCCTTTCGGGGATAAACACCGTTAGTCCCAAGCCCTTGCGGCCCAGTTCTTCACACTTTTTCAAGTAGTCCCGGTGTAAATCGGCCAGAGAACGAAAGTGAGGCTCCAGATAAAGCTTTGCAGAGGTTTTACGACAATAGTGAGATGGGAGTTTCGGTAATAATCCAAAGAATTCATTCACCAGGAACACTTTTTCATCACTTCGAACGAGAGATTTAACACTGCGTTTGGCAGGTCTTTCTGAATCTGACTGCAAGGAATCAGTGGAATTTCGAATCATCCAGTCCCCTAGATCTAGAGTACTGGCAAATATTTTCTTGCATACACGAACTCTTACTCCATCTTTCTTCAAGAAATATTGATATGAGCAGGATCTTTTTGATACTTCCAAAGTTGTCCGCTTCCTCTTCACATCAACCTTGTCAACTAGACCGTTGACGTACGCTTTTTTACTCTCCCATGATAGTGACCACACACAGCCAAAAATCTCTGCTCTGTCTTCGTCTGAAAGAGAATTGCACTCCATCCCTTTGCAGATACGGTTGCAAGGTTCCAGAAGTTGACGTGCTGGTCTTTGGGAGCCCTTGGCAGAGACATAGCTTTGCCCCGACTCCCTGAGAAATTTCCGTTTGTTTCTCTGCCAATTTTCAACACCTTTTTTCCCTGGTTATAGAGTTAGGGTAGAGAATTCTTCATCTGCGGGGACAGCTTCTGCAGGTGGCTCGGGTAGGCAGGAGATTGGTGTTAGCACCCCGCTGCCCGTGCTAGCAACTGATACCGGGAGGTCGTTGACTGAGTCCGCAGGGCCAGCATCTGATGCTAGAAGGGCGTTGACTGTGACGGTAGATGTTGCTGAGGGAACATCGACTGTGTCGGTAGATGTTGCTGTGGGAACGTCGACTGTGTCGGTAGATGATGCTGAGGGAACGTCGACTGTGTCAGTAGATGTTGCTGAGGGAACGTCGACTGTGTCGGTAGATGTTGCTGAGGGAATGTCGACTGTGTCGGTAGATGTTGCTGAGGGAACGTCGACTGTGTCGGTAGATGTTGTTGAGGGAAAGTCGACTGTGTCGGTAGATGTCGCTGACGGGATGTCGGTTGTGTTGATACTGGCAACAACTGGAGCCGGAGTAACATCAGCTGTGACAGCAGTATGATCAACTGAAACTACAGTGACGTCAGACTGCAATGTAACATCCAGAGAACTCATTGGGACAGAAAGGGCAGGACAAGAAGCCCGAACCTGAAGCTCTCCAAGAGTGGTTGAAGTTGGTTCAGGTTGGTCAAATGTGGTCACCGACGAATTTCTGCGTGGTGTTGAACAAGTATCCAGTGAAAAATCTGACGTGTCAAAGCATGACATAGAAATATCTAATTCTGAGGTATCGTTCAAGAAAACATTGTCCACTATGTCTTAGATGGCACTTTCTGATACTTCATTAAGTGGCAACATTTTGGGGGAAGAATTCTTGTCTTGACGATGAGCACATTTTTCAGATCTCGAAAGTGACAACTGGACCAAACGTTGGCCCCTGTTGAAGGGAAACATGTTTAGTGAAGAATGAAACAAATGCACGTTTCGCTTAACTGACCCCATGAGTTTTTCAGTATACAGTAATACAAAATTTTCAAGACACAAAAAAGAATTTGGTCTCCAACACTATTAATGGTCATACAAACCAGTCTTATATAACACCACGTTGAAAGCTGCCAGGCGTTGGCAAAGTGTGTTGATTTATTGGTTACGAGGGAGAACAAATTTGGAATTCTAACACGTTTAGGTGTTAACAACCTGTGCATAGTGTACGCGGGCATTAAGGCTGTTTTCCATGTCCAAATATGAATATAGATTTAATGCGGTATGGCATGTTTGATTTGCTGCTCTTTGCATTTTATTAATATTTACTTTGTTGTAGTTAAGGAAAGAGGCTGCAGTTCAGTTGGAAGTGTTAAAAACATTATTGGTACTTAGAAAGACGTGAAGGAAGGCTTTTTCCATACATGGGCATAGAGACCTTCGGATGTTTAATGGGGCATGGCATTTTAATTTGACTGTTTGTTGATCTTCTGCTTGAAGTGTGAAACACCTTATTGGTACTTAATTCTTACCTTCATCTTGGGCAATGTTCTGGGCTTTCCAGCGAAAAGTACCTTCTTTGTTCTCGACCCACTATGCAAAAAAAGGGACCCAACGCAAGCAGCACGGTTGCGAAACGGTTGCGTAAGATGGACCCTCGGGCATGACACTATTGTTAGGCCCACTAATATTACCCAACAAGTGACACGGCGCGACGCTCGATCGCGCTGGGCTGCCGGGCACAAAGCAATTATGTGCCTCGCTGGTGTTTACAAGTTTTTTGCCCGACGGCTTTCACGCAGTTGGAGATAGGGGTTTTTTTCATTTGTGTTTTAATGTACTTATTTTTCAACTGTGTCAAATATCGTTTGACTGGGACATACTGTATGTTATACAGAATCATATATATAAGCAAAAAAAGTGGATTTTGAAAATTTTGTCGCTTACAGAGTTGGTGCACGACGGCAACGATATGACCCTTAGTGACCTTTTTCTTGTACTTTAGACTACTAATGGACAGCCAGAAGAAAAAAATTTAGGCTGTGGGGCATGGATTAACCCACAAAGAAAGACCCTGAAAGATGTCTGAGAAGAAAAACAATTATCCAGGTGAGTATCCACAAGACATGTGAAACAGGTATCTCTATCTGGCACAAAATAATGAGAGTGAGAGTGTATGCAGACCCGGTAACCAGGAACGAAGTCACGAAGTATACAGACCCGGCAGAGGAAATCTTTTGTGATTTCGGAATCTAAATGAAGATTGCGGATGTCTTATCTATGAACTATCGTTTTTCCTCCGTTTTGGAGTTGGAGGAATCAATATAAAATAAGACAATTTAAAGAAAAGAACATGTCATTATTTCAATCAAGCAGTCACCCTCTCTATTTCTCTGTCTTTCTCCCCTCTTTTTCTGCCTCTCTCTCCCCTGTGTATCACTCACCTTCTCTTCTTTGTTTATCTGTCTTTCTTTCTCCCCTACCTACTTTCTCACTCTGTCTTTCTCTCCTTCTCTCCAGTCAAGTACTGGGGCAACTGATTTGCTTGCACTTCCCCCTGTTCTCTACCCAAACTCCTCTCTCTCTCAGTCTCTCTCTCTCTCACACACACACACATGCACACAAACACACACATCCCACACACACTCTACCGGGTCTGGGCGCTGAAACTCTCCGAAATGACAAAAGATTTCCCCTATCGGATCTGTATACTTCGTAATTTTGTTCCCGATTACTGGGTCTGAATACACTTCGTAAAATAATTTAATGTCTTTCCCTCTCTTGAAACAATAAGAATTTATTAAAACAATTTATGTGGGGATAACAAGGTATTCAGCACAGCTGGTAAAATGTCAGTGTCTTTTGGTCACCAGTAGCCTAGCCCTTTAGTCGGTTCAAGCCTAGATCATCAGGGTACTACAAGACTGAAGAATCTGGGTTCCGTTTGGGGATACTAGTTTTGACCCCACCGATGATTACTTCTGGTTCTAAACGATTATTTTTAGATGTGCGTGCCGACATGGAAACAGCCTATCAAACCTAATTGTAAAATATCAAATTATGGTCAAGTTCAGGGGGGTGTGCCCTCTGAAACACCCCCCACCCCTCCATGTTTTTGTTAGGCAAGCCTCCCTGAAACCCCCCCTTAACTTGTTAAAAACAAGAGAAATTTTACTGCTCATTTTATAGGCTAGATCTACTGATAAAATATCGATACCGAATAAAAAAATCAGTATCGAATACTTGGTAAGATTGAAGAAGAATACCGGACCAGCGTACTTTTTTGCCTGTCTCGACAACCTTAGGCCTTAGGAATTCATGATTTTCCCCAGTTTTTAAATATATCTCTCAATGAAGAATTTCGGACCGGTAGCTTAGATCTACATCTGTTCATTAGAAGTTTGTCAGGGGGGGAGACCCCCCCTGAACACAACCCCCCTTCCTCCGCCCCCCCATTCTCGTGTAAATGAGTAATGAGTGGTCTGGTATTCTTCAATCTTCCCCAGTACTCTGTGTGGATGATGCTAAGTCCAAACAGACAGGACCCAGATTCTTAAGTTGTACCCAGATCAGAAATAGGGGACGCCGAGCGCAAGTGAGATGAAGATCGCTCTACTATAACCCCTCTCTGCAATGAACATAGGTAGGAGGCCTACTATACTCGTAGTGGCGCGATCGTAGATCTAGGCTACCAAAGCATGCAAGATTTTTAAAAATCAAACCCATATCAGGTTGAGTCTTTTCAAAAGTAGGCCTAGATCTAGATCTAGATGAGAGCGCTGCTGCTATATTTCGTTATTCAGAAGCTCCAAAATAATGAAGCCCTCAGTCTCAGTAACCCGGCGTCTCGTCTTTCCCAGTCCTTTGTTTTCCTTTTCAATTAAATCGGGATTTTACCTTAGCCTACAGTTTAGCGGTGTAAAAACAGTCGTGGTGGCATCGCTGTCGGGAGTCCTGGGTGCCTTGAAGCACATAAGAGGCAAAGATCGATAAAAAAAAAAAAAAACCCCCAACAAAACTACAGAATATGGGGAGTAGATCTTGTTTTAAAAGAAAAAGAAAAAGAAAAAGCCGTAAGATAGTTCGGAAGAGTTTAAAAAATTGTCACGTACTTTTACTTTTATAATCCGCCGCTTATGGCTTATACCCTATACGTTCTTACGATCTCTCTGACCGTCTAGCTTATACCCTTTTGGGTGTCGCGGGAAGAAAGAGACGTAGACGTAGGGCCCTACGTCTCTCTGTCGCCAGAAAAAAAAGGGGGATGCTGTGGGCGGTTAATGTTTCCCTGACTCCATCTATCCAGGTCTTTCTCAATCGCCCTTTAGCCTTGTTTCCATCGAACTTTTTTATGTAGGTACGTTGTGTTGGATGGTATGTTGGTCATCGTAGGAGATGTCCGAACCAGTGTCAATGAACTCAAGAAAAATCAATTACATGTAGAATTACCTCTGCTCAGCTGAGAAAAATAGTGATCTAATTGATGTGAACTCCAAGATTGTTAAGTGTCCCTCACACTTTTCTGTCTTCAAAAAATGTATGCAATGTATACCCAAGTGAAATGTAAAACATAGGGTTTAAAACAGTCAAGAGGCTAGCATCTGCGTCTGTCACGGTCCCGATTTTTGCATTTTTCAAAAAAAGACAAAACAACAAGCTACTTCATAACATATTAGACATGTATTTTGATAAGTTTCAAGACATCCATGCGTATCTATTTTCATGCGGAGAATATAAGTACATTGCAAACTATTTATATCCTGTCTGTCTTTTATTTTTCCCCATTAATTGTGTTTTAATTTGTTGGTCTGTTAATTTTCCAAAAAATTGTTCAGATGAATTGTTTTTCTTTTTTGTTTTTTTTACGGCGTAATGTCATTAAATTTAATGCTGTTCCTACCCTTTTAAAGATATAAATGTTTTACGTTAGAGCGTTGTCTCCACCAAAACCGAATACTGACACTGGCACGCCCCAATTGTGAATGATTCCATAATTTACTGCAATATCGAGTTGGCCTACTTTTTCTTGAATTACACTGTGTTACACACGGGTTAAAACAGCCAATCTTCGGATGGTGGACCTTATTTGTTAATTTTTATGGTTATTTATCCGTGCTGTTCTAATTTTGATTTCATATCTATTGTGAAATCTTTACATTTTTCACGTTTTTACTCTGTGGGTGACTACAAATGATATATCCTGGATGCTTAAAACAGAGCACAAGATATTCTGGAGCTTTAGATTGTTACCTCTATCAACATATTGCTCTGTATACGTCGTCACCGAGTTGAAAGCTTGAAAATTAAGGACAACTTTTTGGTCAACTTTTGCTTATACTTTTTGCGCAACATTTGGCAACTTTTGGGAAAAAATGGCAACAAACGCAGATGCTAGAGAGGGCTCTACGGAATAGATTTTTGTTGGGGTGTCTGGAGTGTGAATTTTCACGAATTTTTTGCCAACTTGAATCCTACCTCAGGAAAAAGTTCATTAAACATTTTCTGATTCGTTTTGGAAAAAATCAACTAACAAATTTTTAGGTCTAATGTTTGTTAACATGCATGAGGAAAAACAATTGATTTCCATTAAAGATAAGTGCGGTATTCATTACATGTCAACAAAATCAAATATGGCCGCCGTATCCATGGAAACGAAACTTTTCTCTCAAATTTGATAGCGGATTTTAAGACTCCTTACTATGCTTGTCATATGTGTGAAATTTGGTAAAATTTGGTAAACTAATAAGCGAAATAGCCTTCAGGTGTAGTCCCCGCCCCAATCCCTAAGCGAACCAGAAGTACGTCATAGTGTACAGTCTAGTCTAGTCGAATTTTCAAATCTATGGCACTAGCCCAGAAACTAACCACTAGCCAAATATGTTTTGGCCTACAAAAAAAAGATAAATAAATCTATGGATCTATATATCGGATTAATATCTAGCAGTGTTTTTGAAGACTGAAGTTGAACAGGACTATTGGTCGTTGAAATGAACTACAGTAATCATTTGAAAGTTTGATAACAAAAGAAAAATAGGATCGATGCGAGAATCTATTACATAAAGGCAAAGGAGAGGACAAGGGAGCTAATCTGTCAATGACTTCAGGATTACGTAAGATCTAAATATTGGACAGGATCACTGGAACTTAGGGGATGCAACTCTGACAGTAAATGAGTAAATATTCTCCCAAGAAGTAAACAAACCCAAGTGACAGAAGGCAGAAGGTCTTGGGTAGATCTAGCGGTCCTCTTCGTCATGTCATCCAGCCGGTCAACTTATTGTGCGATGTGAGAGGTACAGAAAGCGGCCAACTTCACTAGAATCTAGATCTATATCTAGATCTCTAGAAATCTAGTAATTTGTAGGCCGAAAGCACGGCTTGGTTGAAGGTAATTTTTAAAAATTTTAAATGAACACATACATATATTTAGGATGGTCTCTAGAATCTATCTAGATTCTATATCTAGATTTAGATCTCTAGATCTAGATCTAGTTCTAGATATCTAGAATCTAGATTCTAAGTACCCTCACCCTGACCATTGTTAAAAGATCTAAAAATCTAGAGAATAGCCACTTAACTAGCGTATAACTAACCAATGCTCTTCTCTGTTCATTACGGCCACCTCTATTCTCACCCGGAGTGAGAATAGTGCAGGCGAGTCTTGTGGCTATTCTCACCCGGTGCGTGTTCACCCTAAACCACAGAATTCTACACTGTGATAACAGAAAAATTGTAGAATTCTGTGCCGTGAACAAACGTTCCCCATTACAACTTTAGCCTACTAAAAGCGTACAATTTTGTCTGTGGGCAGTGGAGAGAGAGAAGAGAGGAAGAGAGAGAGGAGTAGCGCGAGAATTTCCGGACAAAACAAAATGGCGACCCGCGTAGTTCGGCTCGATTCGAAAAGTTAAATAGCCGTACCGTAGCATCTTTGTAGACAACCAAATTAATTTACTTTTGTGTTTTAACATCATTTTTTAACTTTGTTTTGGTCAATTTGATCGTCCACACCGATAGACAGTATTCAGAAAGAGAGAGAGAGAAGAGGGGAGGAGTTGATCTTGCGAGAACTTCCGGGCGTGTGAGAATAGCCACTTTCGTTCATTATAGTCATTCCCAGTCCCAAGACAGCTCTGGCTTGGATCTAGATATAGAGAATCTAGATTAGGCCTAGAAATGTTTATTTTGCTTTGTTGTTGTTGTTTTTCTGGGGGGGGGGGGCGAAGGGTCAATCTCCAGATTTCAGTTTTGGCCTGAAGACGGAGTCGCCTGAATAGTAGAGCAACAAGTCGAATTGAATAGTGGGATAATTTGGCTTCATGAATTTTAATCCCTAACCTTAACCCGAGCTGTCCATGCCATGCATCCCCTGCAGGCCTATCGAATCCTTACCAGTGCCCCTATATGCCCCAATCGGCACCCCAGGCCCTAATTAAACCGGACCCAACAACGTCCTCTACCCCATACCTCTGCCCTTCTCTACTCCTTCCCTTGCCCGCTTACGTAGACACCCACTACTCCAACAGCTCTGTCAGTATTCAGTACCCAGCGTACCCCTACCTCTGCCAGTACCCAGATACCCCTCGTCCTACTTCTGTCTGTACCTAGGCCTTCTCAGTTCAGGCCACCCATCCCGCACAACTGGCTCCAGCATTGAGGGCCGGGGTGGACGACCTTATCTTGATAAGCTCGCCTCGAGACCGATCCTTATCTTATCGAGGATCAATGTGTAAAGCGGCGATTAAAAACGAAAAGCGGCGATAGGCAGATGTTCTAATAAATACATATATACAGGTGATGGAACATTTTTGCATTATGTTTCTGCGTGCCGATAGTGTAATAGTAATGTGTGTAGTGTGTAGCCGACTAGTCTGTCTAATCTCCTAGCCTCTTCATTGTTTCATTCAGTCCTCTTGGATGCACATGTTTTTTTTTCGTTTGGATGTATTTTCACTACATTCAAATTTAAGGATTAAATTTGTGCTTAATTATGTGTCTTAGTGTTCAGCCCAGATTCTAGTTTTCTTTCATCTTGAATGTTATTGTTACTAGAATCTACTGTTACTGTGAAAAAGTTTTCAGCTGACGTCTCAGTTTCAGCGCAATGAACCGTGTGAGCAACATTTGAACATGGGAAGAAAGTGTAGGGGATGGAGTAGTAGAAGTGGTTATGCCAGCCAAAAAGAAGATGCAAAATTTACAATAATATAGATTTCCAAAAGATTCAGAAAAAACACAGTGGATCAAAAGTATTCCAAATAAATTAATCATAGAAGATGTCACGGATTATAATATGGGAGTTTGCTCTCTGCACTTCAAACCTGATGTACCTTTGACACGGGCTGGAAGATTTGTAGTGCCCACAGAGTCTCCAACAAAATTTCCAGAAGTACCACCATCCTGTTGTGGCACACCAGCTCTAAAAAAGAGAGCAACTACAACAAGTTCAGCTTCTTCTAGAGCTGCTGATATTGATGATATATTTAAAGAAAGAGATGTCTTTAAGTTCGATTCATTTGATCAAACAATGGATATGACGCTGACAGCCATTGGCAATGTTGCAAAGAGTAAAGATTTGTATAATACATTTGTCTTGGTCAGCAGAACTCGAGATAGCTCTGTTTTTGCATTTTCCATGTATTTTACTTTTGTTCACCATACCCATGACCACGTGAAAAGGGTTTCATTTGAAGCTTCACAAACTGAAGCACATAATCAGGCATCCTGGCTTCACTAGAGATGTTGTCACATGCTAGAGTCAGTTAGCCTAGATGAAATTTTGCACTTCGTGTGTAACCTTCCAGAGAGACATTGTTGGCCTACACTACTACTACTACTTGTTGAGTATGGTTTAAAAAAAAATGGAAACCAATGAAAAACTGCAGAAACTGATTAGTGGCGATTTTGTGGGACTTTCCAGCGATATTCCATCTTGATTGTTATCGTAAGCTGATGCGGCTGGCAGATATCTTCATGAAAAGATTTGCGGAGTAAATGAAGGACAGGCGAAGAAAAAAATAGCAAAGTAACTTTTTTTTTCAGAGGTAAGGGATTCAGTTACATGCTTAGTATAATATAGATCTATATATATTATATAATATATATATATATACATATATATATAATATATATATATATTATTCTCTCTCCTTCTCTCTCTCTCTCTCTCTCTCTCTCTCTCTCTCTCTCTCTCTCTCTCTCTCTCTCTCTCTCTTTCTCTCTCTCTCTCTCTCTCTCTCTCTCTCTCTCTCTCTCTCTCTCTCTCTCTATATATATATATATATATGTGTGTGTGTGTGTGTGTGTGTGAAATTAATTTTCTTTCATATTTGTTGAAACATGTAGAATGAGAACGATGTTGCAAGTGAAGAACAAAAGTTATCCCACTAGTGTGCCACGGTCTTTTTTTTGTGGTAAAATGCAAACGTAATTCATTTTCATGTTACGAATTGATACTCTGTCACTAGTGAGATCTTCTTTTGTTGTAAGAGCCAATAAACTCCCACAAAAAAGCTGCAACAGCAAAAATGCATTGCATTTAAGTAAGGTTCGTTGTAGGCCAGTCTAGTGAGTACAGTGCGATAATGTTCCATTACCCGCACCAACGCACTTGTCTGTCGCCGCTTTTCGCATTGACCCTCTGGGAACGTGGTAGGCCTCCAATGCTGAGGCCAGTCGTGCGGGCTGGTTGGCTTGGGACTGAGGAAGCCTAGGTCTGTACCCAAAGTACCTGCCTACAGTGCCACCTACCCCTACCTGTAGGCCTACTTATATTATGTTGCCTGTATGGGTTAGGATTGGAAGTGTAGAGGTAGGGTCATCGTTAGGCTAGGGGTACTAGAGTCGGGACCAGGGTGTTAATTATAGGGGCTAGGACTTGGGGATTAGGATAGCAATAGTCAATATATAGCCTAATCATTGAGGCCAAACTATGTTCTTTTCTTTTGACCCTGGCCCTAGCAATACTAGCATGGACCAATAATATCTTATTATTATCGACATATATTTTCTTTATGAAAAGTGAAATTGTAAGTTGAAGACGTATAAAATAAATTATGTGTGATGGATGTGCGTTTGTATATGATTTATGAAATAAATGATAATTAAATGATATTATATATGTAATGCTGGGCTTTCCCATTTTCTAAAAGTAGAGTCGAAAAGTTAGAAATTTAGAATTAGTTGACAAGTGTAGGCTACATACCATCATATGGGGTCCTCTTTAAAAACTGAAATCTCAGTGGGTGGTTCGCTGTGCTGTGGTTTGCTCCTTCTTTCTCCTATCAAATGTCTATTGTCAGATCTATCCTCTTTCTTTTTTTGTGTTCTCTTTTGAAACATCTATCTCTAATCTTCGACACTTATTCGACCTAAACCTGTTGCATGTGCTGAAAAACGAAAACAACCCCCCCGTATTCTGCTGGGCTGTTGATTTTTCTTCGGTTTATACGGGTTTTCCGTTTACAGAGGCTGCTCAAATGGAAGCAAAAAAGTTTTGATTTTTGAGGCATCATGGTGAAATCAGGCACTCGTCAAAATAATGAAATCAACTAAACCGTTTTTTTTCTGCTGTTTCTGAAGATTTGTATTGAATTTTTATTTTTTGACTAAACCGCTTTTGTGTCTTTTTAAAAACACATTTTTGCATGGATCTTACTAAAAGAAAACGTTGATTAAAGGCACAAAATAATTTTCAGTTTGCAAGGACGATCTCAAGCTATGGAAGTCACCTAACTTTGGCGGCCATTATCTAGCTAATTTTACCCACAAAAACCAGGCGACCCCCCACCTCCTTTAAAATAGTAAACTTCTTCTTAAGATAGATGGGTATTTTTTTTCATCAAAAGCACAGCAAATGAACAATTAGCTTTCAAATGATATCAGTTATTGTACATGCCCTAAACTGATGAGCGCCTGATTCCACAGCATCCTGACACATTTTATTCTTTTTCTATTTACCTTTTCTTTCTATTACCACTGTTTTTGGATTGACCGTGTACGTGTAGGTGTATCCACTGTATTAATATGTGTTCACAAATTTTCACGAAAATATAAGTTGTCAAACAGTGAGCCTGATAAACAATAATGTGAGTACTACAGAATTTAGAATGCAAGTAAAAATTCCCTCATGGTCACAGTAAAATATCCTGGACTGGCTATATCAAACAAAACAATGAAATCATTCTCTTTCTCTGTCTGTCTCTATCTCTCACTCATGAAACAGAGTTTATAACAAATAGAAACAGTGCTGCCAGTTTTTACACACAACTTCTCAATATGGTAAGGATGGGGGGGGGGGGGGGGGGGAG